AAAGAACAATATAAAAGCTCCAAAAGCTCCCACTTAAGTATTTATCCTACAATGGCAATAAAATGCACACAATTACAGTAATAATTATCCTACAAAACCAAATAAATTTCTCTCTTTTTATTGCAGTGACATATATACGTAGCAATGCACTAGTTATACAAATTAATGCACTGAAAAAGTGTGCATTCTTAGTTAATTAGACCCTTATTTCTTTTTTTCTTTAAAGAAAAATGGTAAGATATTGGAAAATCCACTAAGTAGCGTCCCCAGCCAGCATGTTTGTCGGTCTCGGCTTCATTAAATATTATTGTTCTTGAATACTCCTAATGGATAAGAGCAGTCCGAATAAATTATTTATTTTAGTGCAAAGTACTTCAAGAATTTTTCAGTTACATAATCTACAGAAGTGAAGTACATATACAATACCACAAATAGGAATTGAATCCTGAGCTTTTCGACAGAATAGTTCATGAAGTTCATTAGCTTTCTGCAATGATTTTCTCACACGGCACTCAAATTCTCTACCGACCAAAAAATGAGAAAAAAAATCTGAAATAGGCAAAGTGCCCTTCAAGGAAAAATCGAACAATAAAAGTAAAAATTGCAAACCTCAAGAATCATACAAATTGTCAAACACCAAGTAATAAACGAAAAAAAATGAAAGAAAAGGTGAAACTGACATGGATAATGTCTTGAGAGTTGAGACTTGTGAGATTAATCCAATCTTTTGCAAGAAAAAAAAATAGAGAATTGAAGTTGAGAAGCTCCATAGTTAGGAAGCCGATGCCATAGAGAATTCGGATTGTTGATTTGAAACAAGAAGAAAGAGAATTGGAGAAGAGATTAAGGGTTTGGATTGCTATTTTTAGAAGCTTTTTTTTTTAAAAAAAAATTGTACTGTAATTATTTGATGTGCATGAGATAAAAAAAATGATTGAAAAATGTGTTTATGGAAAATATAAATTCTTTTTATATAAAAAATTGCAATCCAAAGAAGGAGTCTTTAGAAATTAAGGTTAAAAAGAAAAGTTAGACAAATAAGTTTTCATTTTTCAAGACTTTAAGTTTGGTTTTAAAAATTATGGAAAAAAAATAAAATAGCATGGTTCAACGGGTCAATATGTTCTAATAATTTTTGTAATATAACAAGTCAACTTTAATAGCAACCAAAGACATGACTAGTCATGATTCAACCAATCAAACCAGTAGGTTCGATCCGGTTTTCAAAACATTGAAAATAGTTCAAAAGACGCAAGATGAAAATTCCAAATTCTATTCCAGCCTACAACCAACTTCAATTCTATCAATTGTTTCTTGTCCAAAACGATTTTGATCCTATCAACATTTTCTTGTCCAAAACAATTTTGGTCAAAGAGATGGCTTGGGGTTGAAGCCAGAATTAGATTTCCATACTTGACATCCATATTTAGGTATGTCAATGGGTCGGATCTTATCCAAATCCAATTCGGACTCAATATATTTGGATAGGGTTTCGATTTAATTTCTCAAATCCATACCCTATCCAGACTCAGACCCTATGAGAGAGTCGTGGGTTTGGGTATGGTCTGGTTTTCTAGAATCCATATCCAAATCCAAATTCATACTAGATCTTACTCAGACCCATATATATTTAATTAAATAATATATATTAGAAAATTTATATAATAATATAATATTTTATGGCTATTGGATTGAATACAGTAAGATTTTATGGTATTAGAATCTGTATTTAGTGTTGGTGGTTGGGTAATTGATGAGACTCATGTCAAATTGCTTCCAGATGTGGTTGAAACATTAGTGACTACTGGTGATTTGATTGAATCAAAGAAAAAATGTGTAAGTGTTTATAAATCCTCTTATTCTATTAATTATTTCCCATCGGTTCTTAATCAAATGATTTTTATCTCATTCACTATTTTAGTGCTGGATTGCGAGACATCTGCCAACATTGAGGTTTAAATAAGAAAAACAGATACAAAATTACATTTTTTTAATAAGACTAAATATTTATATATATGTTATGGTTGTTTTCTTTTTTAAAAACTAATCATAGTTGTCATTGTAATTGGCACAAACTTTTTCAAAAAAAAGAGAAAAGACAAAGACAAACAAATGAAATATTGATATGGATGCAGTTGAATCTTTAAAAATATATAGAAGTAGTCAATAATAATTCTTTTTTTGTGTTCAAAATATTGCATTCAATTTGTTGAATGTTAATTTTATTATTTGAAAACAAAAATTGGATGGTATTATATTATTTATGAACTCTATATATTTTTAATACATTTTACTTTAGTATTTTCAGAAAATATTCATAGATGTCCATTGGATACTCAGATCCATAAGGGTCTGGGTATGGACTTACTTTTTCATATCCAAAAAGGTTTGGATCTGGGTCTAAGTCTAATTAAATTAAATAGGTCTAGATCTGAATTAAAGGGATTCAACCCAGACTCTACCCATTGACATGTAGGGCTGTCAACGGGTCGGGTCCGGGCCGGAATTCATTATTCCGGACCCGGACCCGAATTACTATGCCGGACCCGGACCCGACCCGTTTACCCGACGGGTCTTTTATTCTATGTTCCGGATCCGGATCCGACGGGTCCGGCGGGTCCCGGATCCGGGTCTACCCGAACAAATTTAGCAAAATTTATAATTTCTAATAAAAATGAAAAAAAAATATATTTGTAAACTAATTTTTAACTAATGCAAAGAAAAAACCAAATAAGAAAAGAAATCAAATTAACTTTATTAAAATACATCACTCTAATCAAATTATATTGATAAATATATATATTTAAAATTATTAATTCATTTATATCCGGATCCGGGTCTAATACGGGCCGAAATACTATATTCCGTATCCGACCCGTTTTTTTGTTTGACAAAACGGATCCGGATCCGGAAAACGGAATTAAATCCCTACCCATACCCACAATAATTTCACGGATCCGGTCCGGATCCGGGTCTAGACCCGACCCGTTGACAGGCCTATTGACATGCTTATCCACATTAGATAGCCTTTTCAGTACCCTTCAAGCCAAAAAAAAAAAAAAAAAAGAAAGAAAGAAAAGTTTGTAGTCATAATTATCCCTGTCATTCGAGAACTAAAAGAGAGAAATTGTTATGTTGAGACTTGAGGGTACAACTAAAATGTTCAAGTAATTATTTATTGAAAAAAAAAGAAAATAATTATTGATAAGGTACGTGATACATTTTGATAAAAAAAAAAAATCAACAAAAGTCAACTAATACAGTCATATATAAGAATGGTGAGTTCCCCCCCTCCCCAACCCCCACCCCCACAAAAATTTTTAAACCTAAATCCACACCTTATTCAAGTTTTAATACTCATGGTATCTATTAACAAGGTTATCGATGCATCAAGGGTATAGATATAAGATGCAATGGTGTGAAATTAACTTCTTCCGTTTTCTTCTTTTTTGAAGAAAATATATGGGTGGGTAGGACAACTTCATAAAATAATAAAAAAAAAGATATCGAATGACAACAATAGCTTAAGATTAAGAAGTGAAAAAAAAACTATTAGTATGGAAATTGCATTTGTATACTTGTAGGATTAGGTACCCTTCTAGGTTTCCGAATGGCTTCAATGGGGCAGCCAGTGAAAAGTAGCTTATGAATGGTTCCAATTATCTTGTACTCTTACGGTTGGTTCAGATTTTTTTTGTAAACCTTAATGAATTGCTTAACTTGTTCATGCTTAGTTATGAAAAAAAGGAAGTCCTACATACAAAACACACAAAGGAATAAAAAAGGGATTGGTTTGAAGTGTTCATCTTTGTAATTCCCTTCGGTCAACATTCTATTTTATTGTTAACAATTATTACCAGGAGAAATTTTACTTACATTAAGCAAAAAAAGATTACCTGAATAAGTCTAGTTATATGGTACCTAATTCCTATTTAATTCCCAAATTACTCTTTCAACTTGTGTCACATATTCAAGATGCCTTGGCATAAATAAATCTTACACCAGTTGTGTGGGAGAATTCAATCTTATTCAGATTATTATTTTGTGAAAATATTAGGCCTTGGATTCTTCTAATTCTTAAATACTCAAAATCAAATCATCTCTTACAACTCCATATTGATCATTTACTCCCTCTGTTCTACTTTGATACTAGGCCCCGTTCATGTTAAATAATAGGCTAGATTTACTTTTCTAATAAAGTTAACTAATTTTTCTTAAATTGTGTGAGAAAAAAAAAATCAAACTATCAAAGTAATACAAAGGAAATAATAACTAAAATCCACTGCTTCCTTGTCTCTTCCTCCCTTCTTAAATTTCATTCTTCATCTGTTAGAAAAAAAAAATAAAAAAGTACTACAAATAAAAAAAGGAATAGCAAACTCACAAACCTCCAAATCCCAATTTCAATAAGAAATTCGGTAGAGAGACTGGGTCAGTGGGTCACTAATTCAACCGGAGAGTATTAATTTAATATTTATAAATATAAAATAGTAATTTTATTATATAATAAAATGCTTTTAGATACTAATTATTATACTTAGAAAGATATATATTAAATATATAGATATTAAAAGAAGATTTAATTTAATTTTATAGTTCTTTTAAATAAATAAATAATATAGTCAAGTATAAAACAAAATTTACATCACTTGTTTTAAAAAATATAGCATTATTTTTTTAATTATTTTTTGTTTAAAAACAAAGTAATTTTTTAACTGATCAAATATTGTCAGTTTAAAAGTTAAAAGGATTAATTGCAAAATAAAAAAAAAGTTTATTAAAAAAAATTTAATTATCAAATACAAACTAAACAAGTGATGAAATCTATATATATTTAAATAAAAATCCAATGTGCAAATCTTATCAAATGCATATATACATTTTGTTTCAAAAACAAAAATTCACAATTAAAAAAAAAAAGGTAAACCGATTCGATTGAAAAACCGCATTACAGTAGAACCCCCAGTCTAATCCAAAACATAAAAGCCCACAAAATCCACATCCAAATTAGCAATTTCCAAAAATATTTCTCTTTCATTGTGTACTAGAACCCTAGCTAGCAGCATTTCCTCCACTGCTGCCTTGTGCGGGCTCCCAACGTAAATAACACGCGTTTCCTTCTCTCTCAAATTTCAGGTTAAATTCCGGCTGCCCCTTTTTTATCTTCCCATTATTTTTTCAGATATTTATAATCATCTTACTCGTTCCCAGCACACGCCTCTCTCCAAATTTCCCCAATTTTTCCTAAGTTTCCCCAGTTCTACAAGCGATCAATCAATCAATCCATCTGAGGTGCTGATTTCTTTTTCCAACTAATTTTGCCGTGTTAAGCATTTGATTTTGAATTTTTTTTCTAGGGTTTGGTTTGTTTTGTTGAATTGGGCTTTTTCCGCAGGTAGTAGAAAAAGCAAAAGGAGAGAGAGATGTCGGATCAGAGGTTGACACGTATAGCTATTGTGAGCTCCGACAAGTGTAAGCCGAAGAAGTGCCGTCAGGAGTGCAAGAAGAGCTGTCCCGTCGTCAAAACTGGTAATTTTTTTTGGTTTCGTAGATAATTTCTTTTCGAATTTTCAATAGTAATTTGACTTTTTTGTTTCCAACATTTTTTTGGTGTTGTATATTTATCGCGTGAGGAGTGAAATTTGGGTTTACAACGTTTATTTTGCGTGAGATTGTAATGAGTGGATGTATGATTGCGGGAATTAAGCTGGTGTTTCTTCTTGATGGAGGGCAAGATGAAAATTTTAGTGGAGCTATTAAATTTGTGGAACTTGAATCAATTGGTGCTGGATTAATGACTTCTGGAGACCCCAGAAATGACGAAATAGTTTTGATGTTTGTGTGGGATTTGGAGCATGGGGACAAAGTACATTAAAAGATATTAGAATATAGCATTCTTCAGACTGACACCATTAGAGATGGATACTTCCATGTGTTATATCAAATGCATACGCATTATGCAATCTTGGGAGCTGGTTTAAGTGATTTGTTGCAGAATTTGAACTCCCAGAAAAGAGTTTTATTAATTTGGCATTGGAATCCATGAATCAGGTCCTTGTCTTTCACTTTATTTGGTTCAATTTAATGTTGATTCTGTAATGAAAATGTTTTTAGGTGTTATGAGGTAATTAATCTAGTAGATCTTTGATGCATAAAGTTAAGTGCAATACTTTAGAGAAGTCATGGAGGGCAATATCTCTATTAATTCAATTGGGAACAAAATTCGATTTTCCATTCTATTTTAGCTCTAACGAATTATCACCCTTCGTGTCCTTTGGTGAAGCTAACAATATCTTAAGCCTTAGAACATAAAATGTAGGTACTAGCTGTCTGTCAGATTCTTTGACCAATTCAACCTCATTTAGATGTGAGAATTAATGGGACATGTTTGTGTACATGTTGAACATTTGTTAGCTTCATTTTGTTTTCATTGGAATACCAAGTTTCTACGGAAGACTATACATGTTTTGTTGTTGCCTTTTGGTTGATTTTATGCCATATGCAGACAACATTATCTTATAAATTGTCAATTTGATTGAATTGTTCTTATTCTAATAGCACTGGAAGCTTGTGAACATCAAACTATTAAAAGTGAACACAGATCTTTATCTATTTTCTCATTGACTTTGATTCACTGCATGCTATCTCTTGTTTTATTCTTTTCTGTTGAGGTTTTGTTTCTGTCTACTATCTTTTTTTTTTGGTAGAGGAGTTTACTGTAGTAATGTACATGTTGGAATTCAAGCATATGCGTTTTGACACATTTCTTTGTGCAACTGCCAGGGAAACTTTGTATTGAGGTGACTCCTGCATCTAAGATCGCTTTCATCTCAGAAGAGTTGTGTATTGGCTGCGGTATTTGCGTTAAGGTGTCAAGAACCCTCCTGCATAAGATTCTCAAAAACATTACAAACTCAGCCTTATACCAGCAAGAAAATGACTGGGAAAAAGAAAGCTACAAATACCAAAGATATTCAACAAACACCACTGGAGATAGGTAACTAGTCCAAACACAATAGAATACAAGCAAAGAAGTTCAACCTTGAATCTAGAGAAAATGTCTCTATACTCTTCATGTGTGTATCCATTGGCTAGATTAAGCTCATAGAAAATTCAAAACCTCTGACTGAGTAAAACAAAAGATGAATAAGAAGTATCAGAGAACGTATGTCCCCCTTTGCCACAGTTAAACATGAAATGAATTTCCAATTCATTGCTCTCTCTTTGAGACTCTAGGTCTGTTGTTACATTTCCTGGGTTCTTGAATTGTTGATTGAACCAAGTTAACATGGAAAGAACCTAGTCCAATGGAAGCGTAAATAAATACCAAGGAACAGAAATAACAAATAGAAAAAGAAAAGGACTTTCCCCCAAGAATCAAAACATATTGAAGTGTGAAGAAAGAAATGATGTCACAAAGTAGTAGATAGTTCAGGGGTCAGAAAGGTACACAGTGTACGCTATCTTGCATAGGCTCAGGATTAGTTGCAGATCTTTCAAGAAATTCTTTAACAACTTTATTGCAACTTTGGATAATATAGTAATAACAGGTATATTTGAACAGGGTTGTTCAGCAGCAGTCGTGGACTTTGCTGAAATCTGCACGGACTTCAAGTTCTTTGTTCATTTTACATCTCCACAAGACATTTTTGGAACAGTAATATCAAACTTAAGACAGCAGGATCGTCACAATTAACAATTATATCAGATCTAACAATCCACCAAGGAAAAACACTTCATTGTTTAGGATCTGCTTAAAATAATGTATGAATTTAAATAGCAAAAGATTGGATGGGGTGAGAATTTATACATGCCAGCTGTACATGAGTTGAGCATAGATAACCTAGTCTAAAGTTTTCATTATTTTCACAATAAACGAAGTAAAAACTTCCAATTGATACACAAGTGAAGACCATCGATACAAAAATTACATACTCGTTTTAGTATTGGTTTTCTCAGATGTGACATGATATCCAAATTATCAATGTTGAGAGTGAAAACTATTCATCTAATAGCTCTTTAAAGATTCAAAACCTTTAAATTATAGGCATCTTTTCCGGTATTATACTCAGGTTCTGGCGAGGTCATCTCATGTTCTGAAAGATAATAGCCAGTACTTCCACTTGAAATATGATAATTTATGTAACTCTAAGACGTGGCTATGTAGCGTCCATACCGCATGTACTTGTTTCGGTAACCACGGCAGAAGAAATATATAACAACAGAGCAACTTAAATTTACACGTTCCCTAAAAGAAATAGCTCATTCCAGAAGGAGAAGCACTTGGGCTGCAAATAGACAAATATGGTGATGATAGAAACAAGAGGGTCCCAAAAACTCTTTGTAAACTTGTTATCTTAAATTGGATAGTGGTTGCGACCCAGGACAAGGAATTGAAAATATGATGCCCCTTAAAGGAAAGATTAACACACTCACAAGAAAGCTACACACACATCCATTTATGTATACAGAATGAACATAAGAGACACGATAATCACCACAAGCCATTTATCAGAAGGAAATCCATGCAGATAGGTTTTTCAACATTTAGAAGAAAAAAACCTGATACATTGTAGTAATCTGGTGGATCATAGAAAACCATTGCTTCTCGTAGCCTATGACGCTTTCCCTCAGTACCAGCATATTGGAATGTGGTATGTACAGCATAAGGCTCCAGTCTGAGTTGTTGATACATTGCCTGTAAATTAGCATAGGGGCACAAGAAACTTTAGACCTAAGAATAGTTTTATGAAATGAAAAATAAGATCCTAAGTTGGCCAAAGATGTTTACCCGATTATTACCTGCGCGACAAAATCAGAAGTTGAGAAGCAGAAACATAGCATCATTTCAGGGGCTTACCTGGACAAAATAAGTATGGCCACTGCAAAAAATACTTGCAGGGAGAAGACCTAGCTTGATGCTTCCATCATAAGCATAGGCCAGTCCACTTTCTTCATCAACAGGTGGTCCTAGCTGCCTCCTGACAAGATCATTGAAACCATTCTGATCCCATACATCATCATTAGCGAGAAGCAATTCTTTCCATTCTCTTGCCAATTTTTTTGTAGAATTGGATGGCCGCCAGTGGAATATACCAATGTTATATGCAGCACCAACTACGCAAGAAAAGGCATTTCATGTGTAAAATGGCAGCATAAGAGTAATGTTTTATTAGTTATATTCGAATATCTTTGTTCTTCAGCATTTTTCTAAATTCTATATGAAAATCAAGCACAGCTATCTGATCCTGAAATATATCAGAGAGAAAAGAAAAGAAACTTAATTGAATGTGAAAAAAATCAAACTTAAGAACTGATGTTTTACAACTCAATGGTGAAGTTCTAATTAGCTGGTTTGTGCAGGTCCAATAGTAGAACAGGAAGCATGCTTCTGAGGATTAAAATTGCATGAATACCTTCATATCAGCATTAAAAATGCACTCTAGCCAGTTCCGGTGAATCATTGTGTGGGGTAATTATTGGTGTCATTGACACTATTATGGTTTTGTGATACTTGTCCTTTAGTTTTAACTGTGGGAATACAAATTCAGAGAGAAGTGTCTCATCAGATGCCAGTCTTGTAAGACTAGTAGAAGCGCAAATTATCCACATGCATGATCAAGTTGTCAGATATTCATTCTCTAAAGTCAAATGACTAAGTACAGGTTTACATGGTATAGCTTGTTTCAGCCATGACAACTAGCAGACTAAGTTATATTCAGCTGATACCCAGCTTCCCAATTTGCACTCTTCCAGAACAGCAACTTATGCTTTAAACTAAATAAAGTTTCCCTTATAACCTTATTTTTATGCGTAAAACAGCAGCACGAATAAAAAGCCCTCATTAAGTTCCATTTGCTCTAGACCAATAATCTTAGACAAAAATGAAATATGTCCATTTTGGCCCATTTTTCAAAAACTAGTTTTTTAAATACAATGCTACAGTAATACACAAACAAAAACAACTCAAAAAAATATCATCCATACAATATATCAAAACAACTTACAAATATACATAAAAAATTAAAAAAATAAATTTTACAATATTTTCCACCTATCACCGCCACCACCACCCACCACCGCCGCCACCACCCACCACAGCCGCCACCACCCCCTCCCTCTTCCTCCTCCCTTTCCTTCCCTCTTTCTCCTCCCATCTTCCCCTTCCCTCTTCCTCCTCCACCAGATCAAAGGGGGGAGGAGAGGGCCCTCTTCCTCCTCTCCTCTTCTCCTTCCCCTTCCCCACCTCAATTTGGTTTAGACCAGATCGAGGGGGCAGGGGGGATGGAGGGAAGGGAAGGGGAGGAGGTAGGTGGAAGGGGAAGAGGGAGGAGGAAGAGGGAAGGGAAGAGGGAGGAGGAGGAGAAGGAAGAGGGAGGGGGTGGTGGTTGTGGGTGGTAGTATTAATTTTTAAAAGGTACCATAAAAATATTTTAATTTTAAACGTTACCCCAAAATATATTCCAAAAACCCCTCCAAAAACATCACAAAAAACATATTTATGGTAAAAGTGTTTCATATACACTGCTACAGTAAAATATTTCAAAAACACCCTAAAAAATAGCTAATTCAAACGAAACTGTTTCAAGAGGCTGGTCTTGGCAGACGCACAATAGTTGATAGTATGCATCAGATCCTGGACAAAAATATATCCTGACAAGTTACTCCACGGATTGATTTTCAACCGAAGTGCACATTTAGACTTAAAATCGTAAATCTTGTCAGGATAACATTTAAAATACATTCTTACAGGCAAAAGAAGGTTGATTATACTCAATAGGACCTTGAAATCAATTATTAACCCACCAAAGAGGATTCATTTGCCCATAAGAACAGAGGCGCGACTTAAGATGGTCAGGTTTGATGACTGTTTCCAGCAGGGAACCTTGTTGGAAAATAGTCAAGCAAATTTTTCTATTCACCTCATTGCTTCAAATTCATAATACAGGTCCTAGTTGAATCAATAATCAATCATTATTATTCATCTTAAAGGCTCAAACAAGATGGTTACCAATCAGATTGCATGCATTTACAGAATACACCTCCCCCCCGTCCCTAATGCAAAGGACAGTAAAATTTCACTTCACATAATTAAATTCACTGATTAAGAAAACAACATTATGGATAGATTAATATCCTGCATGCTGAAAGGAGATGCATGAGGTTTAGGTTCAAGCAAATGAGCAGGACCTATTTAAAAATAGTCAATGCAGAAATGAATAACCACAATCCACTTTGGCCAGGAAAAGGGCTGCCACATTCCCCCAGTATTAACAGCAAGGCAACAGATTGGAAATGTGAAACTATTGTGATACCAGCATTTATGAAATTTAACTACTAATCCAAAATTAGTTTAAGTCAAACTAACTCCATTAAAGGATTTAAAGTTTTGAAGCGTTATTACAGAACTAAATCAAGTACCATTGATAAATTCAGGAAATTTAAAATTTTCATTTTTTTTAGAGCAGATCCAACTATATGGACAAGAACACAAGATTAAGGAGATATTTCAAGCATAATATAAAATTTTCAGCAAGACACTTCAAGCCATCATGTGAGTTGCAGAAAATTCAACTTCATATCAGCACTTAAGAATTCAGTATTTGCAACAAAAAAGCAGCATGTTCATCCATTATTGACCTAAAATAAGTGATAACATAGCAAGATAATTTCATATTCTTACAAAACTATCAAGCAAGAAAATCTAGTCATTAGCAACTGTATAAAAAGAAAATAGCAGGGAAGTAACTTCCTTCAAAGTTTACCTTGTTGCCAGATGTCCAAACTGTCATCAACAACTGTTGGTGCAACTTGATCAGTTGAGGTCAAGATATCAGCTTCAGGGAAACGTGCTAGATAAGGCAGCGGATTCTATTACACAGAAATTGAGAAAGTGCAACAAAGAAAAGGTGAAAATTAGGCATGCAGATCAAAAGTCAAAACAGATTTTGGTATACCTTTAGAAGGCCAAAAAAGTACCTTCAAAGTTTTTTTTTTTTGGTTTTTGTTTTTTTTTGGGGGGCGGGGGGGACAACATGGAACATGTAATTACCAAGTTCCCTATATAAAAAAAAAATTATTTTAAGGACGGAAGACAGTTTGAGATTCAAGCGCTTGAAATAAAAAAATCTGCATGACATTACTCTCCATTATCAATGTTCAATCACCCTTCTCTGTATTGGTATCTTGCTTTCTTAGTAGGGACTAGTGAAAGGGACTAACAAATTCATATTTTCTCATTGTTAAAGGTCATACTTAACCAGTAATACACAAATGATAATTTTCTTCTAAATCTCTAAAACATTGTTTTATGATCTCTCTCTCTCTCTCTCTCTCACACACACACACACACACACACACACACACACATGCAAACACAGCAATCCCATAACTCTCGGCTGCTCAAGATTCTAAATATTGTGAATTCACAATCCATCAATAAAGATAGACACTACTGTCAGATTCATGGTACCTTCCCCATTGTCCCTCCTCCCTCTTGGAGATCTTGAGAAGTACTCAATATCTGACAAATAGAATAACATAGGCCTACAGACTTGGTGTCTATGGTTGGTCTTGTTACATTCAATGGTAGAATAAAAAATAGAATCGCACCATCTTATGTCCATTGCACACCACTGCATTAGAAGGATTTGCACACCCAACCAACAATATCCCTTCCCTCCTTCACTTTACTGAAATTCCTTATGAATTTTAAAATTTTGAGAAACAGCTGATTAATTCTACATGACTATGTCACAGTTGGACATACTTGACTGGCATCCATCCCTCCTTTCCTTCTTTCCTCTCTCACTCTCTTCTGGCATCCTTTGTGAAGCCAGCCAATTGGAGCAGTAGATTGACAAATTCAAGTTACTAATTCTGCCTCTTTACCCAGCTCATAAAAGGTGCAACAGGACTTACAGTACCAGATCATTTTTCAAGCCAAATGGGATCAGTGTAAAGATGACAACTTTACTTGATCAGGCAAACAAGTAGTTGAGCAAGAAAGGTTACCTTCAACCAGACCATGTCTGTATCGCACATTAGTATTTCAAAACCCATAGGAAGAATGGCATCTATCAGAATAACCTTCTGCCTTCCCATCTTGTGAAATGCTTTTGAACCCCATCCAACATCTACTGTGCTCATATGACTACCCATATCAAAAACTGGTACACCTTTCCAGTAAAGAGCCTCAACCAGTTTTGTGTCCATGGCACCTGCATCACAATTGAGTTGTTTTTGAACAATTACGTCACTGTTTCTTGACCTCTTTCTCCAGCTCTATGAGAAGACAACTATCACTTACCAACAAGAAGGTTATCGACACCTAAATCTGTCAAGTGCTTTACCCATGTGAGGATGAAATCCATGAAAGCATAGTTACCAAAGGTGACTACTATAACATTATCCTTCACCCTTTGCTGAACCAGTTCCTTGGTCAATCTAAAGGTTTTAAGAGGTGGCATCTTAGAACCAGAAGGGGGGGCCTCCCAAATAGGCTTCATCGATTTGCTTTGTGTTTGGGAGGTGGAACCCAGAGACACATTCACAACAGTTACATGAGAAGAATTTGATACCTGGTTTTGGACTGGAGAAAAGGCAAGTAAAATAAGATACTAGATTGGGAAAAATTCAGGCATGAATTAACAGCTTAGCAGAAATAACATCTAGATATTAAAGTCAAATAACATATAGTAGATACACAAACTTGCATGAAATCTGCATTCTTTTTAAACTTTTGTATTAAACTGTAATCTGCTTATTGCAATACTAAATTGCTTTTTAGGACTGTTAGGGGAGTTGTACACCATCTAACAACATGACATCCCACATCAACAATCCATATGGTTAACCATAAGATGCATGAACATTTTAAATGTACAATTCGAAACCCAGTCTTTTGCATATCTTCCTCTTCTTGGTATATTAGTTACTTGAGTCTTAACTAAAAGTTTTCAGGAACCTAAAGAATATCATACCAAATCTTCTCTAGAAAAGAGAAAGGGAAAAGCAGTTCTCCAATACAGCAAGCAATAGTATTAGCATGCTTCCCCCTCCACCCCACCCTGCCCGGGGTGGGGGGGGGGGATGTGTGGGAGGTTACAATCAACCATGAACTTTTGAAATATCCGATAAAAAAAAATGTAATCCACATGCATAAAGTTACACCAATGTAAAGTTCATATAATTGTGTTGGAAGTACTAGACATCATGATGTTATAGCCACATTATCAGCCAATCTCAGAAATATAGTCCTTGATCATCCAATGGTTGACGACATTGCAATAAACGAGCTTTTAACACAGAAATCCAATGAAGTATCACAGACCATGATAGCAAAAGGGCCAAAAGAAAAGCAGATTTCCCTCCAATTCATCAATTAAACCAAAATCCAAAAAGACAGAAACTTTATCAAACAACAACTAAAAACAACAAAATGCTAATTGACACAGCCTTGAAAATCATTAAGAACTTAAAATATGAATTGAAAAAATAAACCTTTCTTAAACCCCAAATGTACCTGGACTGAACCACAGGGAGGAAGAGGAAGAGGAGGAAGACGATGGCGAGGAGCTGTAAACTGCCGAGAAAACATAGAAAGAAGACACCACTACTCCTACCACCACAGTGGCGTAGATGGTCAGAAAAACTGGCTTGTAATTTGCCATATCTTTGATGGGACTGTTCCAAGAGGCCATTTTTGCAAATATTAATACCTTTCCAAGAAAACCCACCAAGGAATTTGGATTTTAATTCAATTTAATTGCAAAAACCCAATTTTCCTCATCTGGGTTCTGATCAAAACATCAGAAAATCTTCATGGCTACTCTCTCTAGGTAGATTGTGCTAGACAAGGCTTTAGGGTGGCGAAGCTGGGTATATGTGGGGATATTTTGGCGGTGAAAAGTCAACACATTACAGCCAATAGGATGATTATTAATATTTCATGCCAATGAAACTGAAATTTCATTTGAAAACTGGAATGTGGAATATAGAAATAAGGCAAGTAGAACAAATCTTCAAATGTAATTGAAGAAAAAATATATTGTAAAGATTTGAATAATTGGAGAGTAGGTGGTGGATCAGTAATGGTGTTTAGCTGGATTTATACATATTTATTATTTAGTTGGTGGTCCTTTATGAAGACTTCCGAAATTGGATAGTTTACTCGCCTTTCCAATCCTACTACTCTGTTTTAGGCTTTTAACAGAGAAAAGTAACTTTCTTTATATAGTTAATTGCTGTATATCCCCCCCTTAACGTTTGGCCTGAAACAGCTTTGGGCCCTTAACTTCATTTGTTAGGGATAATTTCAGAAACCTCCCCTGAGGTTTCTGACATTTACACTCACCTCCCCTGAGGTTTCTGACGTTTACAGATATTTTATTTTCAAATATTTAATTTATGATAAATATATTAATGTTTGTAATTAAAAATTAAAAAGTGTTGCAGTAATATTCTCGCAAAAAGAAAATCAGTAGGTTATCTATTTAATATAAATTAAATATTTTTTAAAAAAAGAAATGGCCCATAAAGTATTAATTTTTTATGATTTTCATCAATTACATGTGTAAAGTATTAGCTCTTTATGAGTATTTTATCCTGAGTCATTTAATTTATGCTAAATACATAAATATTTATAACTAAAATTGAAAAAGTGTTATATTAATATTTCTACAGAAGAAAAACTGGTAGGTTTTTTGTTTAACAAAATTAAATATTTGAGAGTAAATACAAATCTGTATTTGAGAATAAATATTTGTAATAAAGTAAATGTTTGAAAGTAAAACACCCGTAAAGAGCTGGTACTTTAAATAAGTAATACGTATTTGCCTATAAACTACGCTCCTTAAAGTTTATTAATTATTAATTAATTTGTAATACTTTGTCATTCATTGGACATGTAGCACAAAGGGCAAATCAGGTACAAAATTCTAATTTCACTCTCTAAAATAATATTTTAATCATTTGGACTGAATTTGTAAAGGATTAGTAACTTCAGGGGAGGTTAGTGTAATTGTTCAAACCACAGGGAAGGTGAGTGTAAATGTCAGAAACCTCAGCGGAGGTTTCTGAAATTATCCCTATTTGTTAAGCACTTTGTCCCTTTTATTCATCGCCAAAATAACGGTTGGATAAAATGACTAAAATGAGTACGCACCTTTAAATTAAAAATTGCAATTTACTGCTATGAACCATGATTCTAAAACCACTTTGCTTTCTCCCCAATGAATCTTATACTTAATTTTATATCCTAATTCATGTTTAAGCATTAAATACCCTTTGATAGTTTATTTATATTTATTTTTTTCCTTTTATTTCTTCACTCTTAGAGTATTTTCCTTATTCTTATCCCATTCTCTCTTGCCACTACTAAGAAATATATGTAATTATTATTAATAATTGATTAATCACAAACCTTAATCTTAAGGATGTGCCTGGATAATTTATTTTTCAAGTTAAATGTGCTTTGTAACGCACACAACATATATTTTATTTTACAGAGGTTTGGCTTTCTTAATTTTTTAATTGCTCATTCTTTTATTTTGTCAGAAGTTCTTTATTTGTTAATTTTCATGATGATTGATTGGTTAATTACCAATTCCTATATTTAATTCTTTTGTAGATCGTTGTAGTTTGTTGCTTGTACTACGACATTCATGATCTAAAAAATAAATGTATTTAGATATAGATACAAAACTTAGAGTTTACAATTAATTAGTTGCTAATATTGTTTAAAAAAATCTTAAAAGTGACAAGAGGGAAGGATAAAATAAAGTAAAAGGGAAAATATAAAGTAGTTTGTAAACCTCCATTTTCTGTTTTATGTACTTCTTGCTTCATGCTTTAACTCTAGATCATTAACCCAACCACCTAACCCTTTTCCAAACCAAGAAAATTTTAAGGAAGAAATATGTGAGTGAAAGGGTCGCAATCCTCCATTTTCCTAGGAAGCATGGATAGGTCTGTAGGATATTTGAAAGTTGCTGTATACTTGTTGAAAGCTCTGATTTGGCATGATTTCTTTCTTTTTTTCCTTCTATCATCCAATCTTATTGTTTACGATTGTGTTGTGTTGCACTTATGAAGTATCTTGACATTAGTTTTAGAACGGATCCAAGTAATTACCATCCAAGAATCAACAAGTTGGATTCAACTAAGGACGGGAAGTAGAAGTCTGCTGGATTATATTATCATCTTGACGATTAATTTGTACACAAGGTTCTACATATGTGCTTGATTCCTACTTTGATCTGCTCCCAGATGCTGATAGAAGCTAACCTTTTATTAGGTAATGCTATTCAGAAGGGCTATTTATCTCTGCATGCAGTGTCCTTGATTTTGAAAGTGCAATCTAATAGCAAGTGCTTTTCTAATGAAAATATCACTTGGAAACATATTAGCACAGGATCCCTTGGATGGACAGAGCTTTTATAGTCATGGTTTGTCCTTGTGGTTGTGGTCACATTATGGTCATGATTGCTCCATATCAGTCGCAGAATGTCCACTGTAAATAGGATTAGGGGTGGCAATTCGGGTCCAAATCAGGTTTGCGGGTCGGGTTCGGGTCAACCCGTCAGAAAATCTGTTGACCCGAATCCGACCCGCCAACCAGTGCCGGGTCAGGTATGCTGACCCGAACCCGAAAATTTCAGGTTGGCTGGTCGACCCGAAATGACCCGAAACTTAATTTTAATTTATTAATTTATCACTGTAATTTCTAATAAAATCAATTTCTCACAAAACTAATTACATAATCAAGTAATAAAAATTTAAATAAATAATTCCAAACCAAATCTAAAATAAATTAAACACCATAAAAGTGTTTTATCCCAAATAAAATATAAACTAAATTAAAACAGTATAAAAGTAAAAAATAATATAATATATTATTTGTCCAAATATAATAATTTTAACTTCACACAAATTAAATAAATTCATTTAAGATTAAGTAATTAATGCCTTTGAAAAAAAGAATAACTTAGTTTAGTTAGATAGAATTATTTTTATGTTTATTAAATTATTTTTAATTCGTAAACGGGTCATATCGGGTCACCACGGGTTGACCCGAAATCGACATGTGTTTCTTTTCGGGTTCATCGGGTCCAACCCGATTCTAACCCGAATTCCCGAAATCTCAACCCAAACCCATTAATTTCGTGTTAGATTCGTGTCGTGTTTTCAGGTCGTGTCAAAAATTGCCACCCCTAAATAGGATGATGCGTACATTACAACACATAAGAGTTTTTAAAAATTCTAAAAAAATATCTAAAAATAGAAAATACCAAATATTCAACTTTTATTTGATTTTTGATTCAAAATAGTGTAACTCGGTGAGTTTCGGTCGATATGTAATTAATTTGAATTGACTCGATCAATATTGGCTAAGTCAGGTCCAGTCATATCCAAAATAGTTCCATAGACGAATCATATGTTGATATCATACTGAGAAGGTCCGTTCCAGTTACATATCGCTCGAGTCATCTCGAACTCAGGCGATATGGTGAACATTGTTTGTAATGCATGTTCAAATCTATTTAATATGCTTCATTGACATTTTAGTACACCTTCAAACACCAATCTTGATCCTTTTGCTTCTGCTGGTTGCATAAGTTGTGGATGAATTTTTTTTTTGGACATTCTTATTTATCTGCTGTTATATAAGATTTGCAAAAACTCATTGGCGAGAAGCCATAGAGTGAGGAATATTGTCTTGTAACTTTTTGACATAATTTATAATTGCTTTGATCGGTGCTTGCATCCAATCTCATGAAAAAGGTCTATGAATCCTATTGGAGAATGAGATATTAGATTTAAAATTTTGGAAATTATCTATGAATGAACGAGATAATAGTAGTGCATATTATTTAGGTTTTTTCCAACCATTTGTTATGACTGAAAACTTGGGTGTCAAAAGAAGAGCAGAAATGAGTAGAAACAAGACGTGTACTCGAAGAGTTGAAATGGATGCTCTCGAGCATAGCATAATGAAGCCTAAGAATTGAATTTATATTCTGCACCTACTTACCACATTTTTCTATAATTTTTTTGTCAAAACAGTAGAAAATTTTCATTTCACTATGTTTACAAGTAAATACTGGACAAGGGTCCATATAGTCATCTAGGGACAAGCCTCTAGATCATATTTACAAGTCACATTGGAAAGCTATGTATCCAGTAAACATTATGTACTGATAATTTAGTGGCAAATTTTGCTAACTCTATAATTATTCTAAGATCTTCTTTTCTTCCAACACCAAAGGAGATAACTTGGAAATTCTATTGAAATGCCAAAATATCTTCAATTAGCTATCATTGGAGTTTCTGAGTTCAACAACCTATTAAATGTTTTCACTAAGGATTTTGACTTTGTACCAATTTTGTTTCATAGCTTTAATTATAGCACACTTAATTGCTTCAGTTGCTTCCAGTTCTGTAGATCCATCTTTGCTTTCTGGAGTGCCCATCCAGTTAGAAGTTTCCCTCTCCAATTGGTTCCTATGATCCCTGTTCCTATTCTATTGCATGCCTTCGTTCTTTCCGCAGCTATTTTAATATTGATTGTCAGCTAGTCTTTGCTTTCTGTTTCTTTCTGGTTCTTGCCATCCTTCATCTTCTTGTACTCATTCCATTCCCCCCAGACTCTACATATTATTTGAACAAAATTTTTCCTATGGAAATGAAAATTGTTTCAATCTTTCCAGATTGCCTATAGAGTATTCACAATCAAGGCTATATGCTCATTACCTTCTATCCTATTTCTACTGGCCATTACCCCATCATGCTAGTTAGGGATGGCAATTGGAGTGGGTGCCCAAAAGGGTCTAATGGGGCGGGGGGAATTTTTTTCCCCCGTTTAGAAATGTGGCAAGGGGCGGGGGTATACCGCCCTGTCACCCATTAAAAAAATTAATATATATATATGTATATAATTATATATACATATTGTGACGCCCCACATCTCCCTAAGGCGGACCAAAGGGTATCCGCGGACGCCTGCCCAACTCTCGCCAGGACTCAAGCAATTCCATTCAATTTAAAACCGAACTAAACACTTCGATGAGAGCAACATGAATACAATAATGCGGAAGCGTTCAAGCTTAACA